GCTCCTGCATTTTTTAAAGAACCCCTTAAAATAAACTTTTGTGTGGTATTATTCATGGCATTTCATTGAAATTTCTTAGGTATTGGGAGCATGATTTTGTGTTTCACCATCCTTTCTGTTACCCTAATAGGTATCAATGGATCAAATAAACTTGAGTATAAAGAAACTTGAGTCTACCATCTTAGTAGGCTTTATAGAACTTATTCATCAGGTCCCAGAGTTACATCACATCTTTCTCTTGTTTGGAATTATGAAAGTATCTCTCTCCTGTTCCTTCTATAAATTTGTGGTAAAGTTTCTTTTCATTCTGGAAAGGATTTTCAGGTGTAAAACTATGTTATTGTTGTTAAGTGTCGCTGAGTTGGTTCTGACCCATAGTGACCCTGTACAGGGTTTCCAAGAGACGCTGGTGAGCTTGAACCACCAACCTCGCAGTTCAAATGGCTTTGCAGTCTGGTGCATTAACCCACAATGCCACACATAGGGTTCTTACTAAATGTCAAGTGGTTTTATATATTAATTTTTTTTTTCACTTTATCAACATTTTATTTTAAGCTTAATTTACTCCCAAGCCAGAAGTTTTTGTTTCTCCTGAGACATATTTTCTTCTGTGCAACCTCCTCTTCTGGTTTAGGAACAATTTTTTCCTTTTCAGTGAGGATTATCTCAATGTGGCAGGGGATGCTCATGTAGAAGTTGATCTGACCGTGAGCTCTGTAAATTCGGTGGTGCATCTTGGGAACTTTGTTCTCCTGAATGGCTCAATAACCAAAGAATACACATCTACACCCTTAAGTTCGGCTTTGTTCTCTGCATTTCTAAGCATGTACAACAAAAATTCAGTGCTCTCTTTGGTCACGAACGCTGTGTCCAGCCCCACTGTTTGGCCTGGGCACACCTATCAACACCACCATTGTAACACTGGAATGGTACACATTGGTTCTTCAAAGTGACATCTTTAAGATATTTGGTGGCTTTCCAGATATGTATACCCTCGATGGCCTAGCCAGTCTCATGGGTGTTCTTAAAATTGACCTGGAGATTTTAACCTCTGGATTTGCATGATTTTGTGGTGTTTTCTGGGACAAGTAAGTAGCAAACCATTTTGTGAGATTACCTTAGGCTGCTTATGGGAAGAGCTGAGTCACAATTACTCTACAGCACTTAACAATATTATTAGTTGTTTTATGTATTATTCTGTGAATCCTGAGTTGTCTTTAACAATATCATTCTATAAATGTGGAAAGATAGTTCCAGGGGTGATAAATAAAGATTTAGATTCTCACAATATTACGTTTATTTAACTTCAAAGAATTGCTTTAAATTGGTTCTTAACTACAGATTAAATTAAAAAAAAAAAAAAAAAACGCTCCTTAAAATAATTCTTTGATAATCACTTGAAATGCTTAAGTGTTTTTATTTTAAAACCAAGTTTAGAAATACCTAAAAACAATAGTCCATACTACAATACAAAGTACACTCATTAAAATAGAGAATTCTTCTTTTATTTATTTAGTTTATTTTACTTTGTTTTGTTGTTTGGGTGAAAGTTTCTAGAGTGAATTAGTTTTCTGTCTAACCATTTATACACATTTTTTTTTATGACTTTGGTTATAATCCCCTCACTATAAGAGTACCCTACCTTCCTATTCTGTGGATTCACCATTTCCATTTCTCCTTCTTTCCTGGCCCTTCTGAGGCTTCTTTTTGGGGGTAAAAAGCTGCCCCTTTGGCCTCATATGATAGAATTTCCTGAGAATTACATTCATCCCTGGTGTCCTGGTGTGGCACTGTGGGCTAATGAGTCAGACTGCAATATCTTGTAAACTGCAAGGTGATGGTTCAAGCTTACCAGTTGCTCTTTAGAAACTCTATATAGGATTGCTATGTGTCAGAATCGACTCAAGGACACTTAACAGCAACAACATTCCTCCCTGCTGTTACTGCACTCAAATTATTTTTGATGTTGGACAAAGCCCTGCTTGGTTGAGTCATTTCAATGATTTCTCATATTTCATTGTTATTTTATGTGGTGATTCCAATGCTAAATATCAAATGAACTCTTAAGAGAGAAATTGTTGAGACAAAGCTCAAACAACCTAACTGCTCACACTTGTGCATCAGAAAATGTTAAGAAGCCAAGATTTGTTTTGTCACTCAAGAGTTTTATTTCTATTATCTAATTCTCTGGTTCACATTAGGAGGAGGTGAAGTCATTCTTCATCCCCTTCTTCTGATTTCTTTTCCACTGATATTCCCCTGAAGTGCTTCCTTATCTCCTGGGATGCCAAACTCCATCTAGCTACATACTAATAGGAGTCCTGATGTGGCACTGAAGGATAATGCTCTAGACTGCAGTGTCAGTTTGAACCACAAGGTCAGTGGTTCAAACCCACCAGCTTCTCCTAGGAAACTCTATATAGGGTCATTGTGGGTCAGACCCGACTCGACGGCACTTCACAACAATAACACATACTAATAAAACCATACCCAGACTTTTCCTATCAACATGACTGTCCCTCCAGATTATGTGGTGTAATATCTTTTCCATTCTCCCAATTTATATCTGAGCCTAGGTGGCTATATTCTTATTAAAAAACTGGATAAGCTAAACAATCATCCAAAGGATATTAATATATGCAAATTGTACTCTGATGCCATATTGGTGTCCATAGTTACCATTTCCAACAGATGTGGATTAACTGAGAAAATATAGGGGAGCAAGCCCCAAAACCTTTTTCAAAGCACTCCCTCTTCATACACTTTTCCCAACAATCTTAGCATCCCCAAACTTGTGACAGTTTACTTAAAATAAATATTATTAGAAAAAGTGCAAGTACTCTTGGAATTTATCAGAATTGTGAAGTGTTTTCAAAAATGAATGTTCTGTAATGGCAGCTATTTTGCCTATTCTATTCACTGGCTTTTAGATTCTACAATAATTTGTAATGGGTAACTAAGAGTGTTCTTATGTTTTGCATGGCCCTTCAAATATAGAACTATATTCCTGTTTTCTGAACAAGCTGAACAAAAATGTTTTTTTGTTTGGTTTCCTTAGTTTGTGAGCATCAAAGAAATAGATCTAAGCCATAAGAAGTAGGAGAACTTCAAAATATAACCCAAGTGTATGCTCTTTAATTTCTAAGTAATTAATATGCATACTTTATAAATATATTACCTCTTATAGCAACAATCATATGACAATTATGGACTTTCCTAGAAGAACTAAAAAAATATATTCAGGGCATATCATTTTGCCTCAGTTAATTTTGTTTCAATCAACATATGAATATCCCTAAAACAAGTTTATTGATTTCTAAATATTTCTTTTCACATCCTGGGTCATGGACACACTGCATGTACTTGTTCTAGTAGGGAAGAAACACTCATCATCTTCATCACAACATGCTCAGCATCTCAGAGTATAGGCATGGATTATGAACAGAGTCATAGGTAAAGGATGCTTTAAGGAGAGGGTGGCTTATGAACAAGGACTAAGGGAATTTGTCCAGATCTGATTTGAGGAAAGGAGAAGAAAGAAAGTAAATCTATCTAAAGGAAGCTAACAGGTAACAGTTAAGGATTACAGTCCAAGTATGTACTCGTTTGGTCTTAAATATCTAATAGTTTGGAGCTTCATTTCTTCTAAAATGTCATAGTCATATAAATCTCATGATTGCTAATTGCCAATCCCTCCATATAGAGAACTTTTCTCTCTGCCTTATGTATCTCATTTCATTACGTAGATCAGAAATTAAATGTACCCATTTCAAAAAAGACTTTCTTCTTTGCACAGTAGATCCAGAAATTTTTATATTGAATAAAATCACCATGCTTTTTCACTTCATGATGTTTTATAATTTTTATGAAGTTTTTGGAACAAACTCAAGAGCCTTTGTAACAGCCTATCTCTCAGTGCAGCTTCTGAGTCTGAAGTCAAAAGGAAAAAAAGTGAGGGGGAAAAAAAAATCATTACTAATGTAGTAGGGTAAAAGTACTAAAGATCCATAAGTGTTTCCTTTAACAATATGTTGTCCAGATAGTGTTAATCATTGAGCGGCAATGATTAACAGGACAGTGGATACAGAACATTATGTAGTATTGGTAAACTGGAGTTTCCCATAAAGTAGTGAGGAGAATTCTTTAAACTAATAAAGGGGATCTGGTGATAGTGTGTTTTAAGTCAATTTATAATCTAAATGTATGTATGAGGGGATAAGTAAAAAGTATTGCTACAAAAGCACAAACATTTATAAACCATTATAAAATGTGAAGTTGTTGTTTCTCAGAATAGCCTCCATTGAAATCTATAAAGTTCAGAAGGCATTCCTTATGATTAGCACTGGACTGTGATCCACAAATTCAGCAATTCGGGTCCACCAGCTGCTTCATGGGAGACAGATGAGAATTTCTGTTTCCTCAAATATTTAAAGGGCTGCTATGAGTTCAACTCAAATTCACTTGATGACACTTAGCAAAAACAAACACATTTACACTCAATTATAGCATTCATTAGAATCCTGGTGTGGCACTATGAGTTAATGCTGGACTACAAATTCAAATTGAACCTCACGGTTGGTGGTTGTATCTCACTGGTTGCTCCTTTGAAACAAGGTCACTATGGGTAAGAACTGACTCGATGACACTTGATAAGAACAAGATAGAATTCATTAGCATAGATATTACTGGATTGACCATACAATACAAAGAATCAGAATTACACTAGATACTAAATAAACATTCAATATCTCCTACTATACTATAGATAATGCATGAAAGAAACAATAATCAAATAAATTTTCCACATATTAAGGAGATAAGAACATTCCTAAAATTAAAGAGTACTGTTTAAATTGAACACATAAGAAAGTAAAGCACATTAAAAAAAAACAAAACAGATTTGTACATCTGGGGATTTGCATTAATAAGTATTTTACAAAACACTGTGTTATTCTATATGATTTCAGAAAAAGTAATTGTCTCACTATGTGCAAAACTGTTTAAAATAGCATTTTATTTTTCAGCTTTTCCAAAGCCTCTTTCACATCCTTGTTTCTTAGACTGTAAATAAGAGGGTTTAACATGGGAATGACAAGAGTATAGAACAATGAGGTCATTTTGTCTTGATCTAGAGAATAGGAAGAACTTGGGCGGAAATACATAAAGAGCATAGTCCCCTGGAAAATTGCAACAACAGTTAAGTGGGAGGTGCAGGTGGAGAAAGCTTTGAACCTTCCTTCCGTAGAGTTGATCTTTAAGACTGAGAAGATGATGTAACAGTAAGACACAAGAACTCCAGAAATGGTACTTAGTTCAATGAAGCCAAAAACAGTGAATAATGCCAGCTCATTGACTTGAATATTAGAGCAGGAAAGAAGGTAAAGTGGAGGTAAATCACAGAAGAAGTGATTGATTTCATTTGAGCCACAAAAACACAAGCGGAAAGTTAATGTTGTATGTACCAAAGCATCAACCATGCCAATCAGGTAAACCCCTGCCATAAGCATAGAACACACTTTGTTGGACATGTTGACTGTATAAAGCAAGGGGTTGCTAATGGCCTTGTACCTATCAAAGGCCATCACTGCCAGCAGGAGACATTCAGAATCTGCAAAGATACAAAAGGTGAAGAATTGCATAGCACAACCAATGAAGGGAATTGATTTGTTCCTGGAAAAGAGGTCCACTAGCATCTTAGGTCCAATTGCTGTAGAGTAGCAGAGATCACAGAAAGAGAGATGACTGAGGAAGAAATACATTGGTGTTTGAAGCTGAGAATCTGTTCTAATTAAAATGATCATTCCAAGATTTGCTACAAGAATAATGAAATACACTATCAGAAACATGATGAATATGATTGTCTTAATCTCAGGGTTATTAGTAATTCCCAAGAGCTTGAATTCAATCAAGTAGGAGCAATTTTCTCCCTCCATTCTTCCTTGGTGTTCTAAACTGCTAAAGAAAATGATTGAGAAAAAAGATAGATCAGGATATAGCACTTTTGGACACCCACAAACTATTATCTATGAAAGAACAATTTCTATCTGTAAAGTGTCTTCTTTAAGCTCAGAAACTTCATTGTCCAGAGATAAATATAACTGATAAAGAAGCAATGCTATGTTATTGGGGAAAAATTGTCCAGTACAAGATGTTCAGAAACTGATTCTGAATCTGTTTGTGTTATTAATTTGACATTTGTATTGGCCTCCATTTTCTTTTCTCAGACAGCCCATTTAAATGAACCTAAAACTCATTCCATGTTCAGAAAATTAAAAGCAATAATAATAATAAAAAGTTAGAGAGACAAAACCAAAGATACAGGCTTACATATTTGATGTCTAATAATACACATCCTATTTCACACACAAAGAAAGTGACTGTATTATTAATGATTCAGCACTAATCAATGGCATTGCATATAAACTAATAGATACAAATGATAATATTGCAATTTTGATCTATGATGTCTTCAATGTTACCTGAATAACTAAAAATGAATGGAGCATGTTCTATTAATCATTTCTATCAAATTTCATCTGTTCTTTGTAAAGCATTTATATGTTATATGACTAACCAGGCTCCAAAGGATAAGCCTACTGTCACAAAAGAAATATTATACAAATTGGGACAAACAATATTTAATGCATTCATGTGTATTTTATTGAATATTTTAAATGTAATTTTTTTCTAAAAGATGAAAATTGGAAGAAGAATATAAAATGTCTCGGAATTCTAAAGGATTCACTTTCTATGTGTATCTATGCAAATACCTGTGTAGGTATATAAGTATCAAAATGTGAATGGTAGTCTGATTTTTATTTCATTCTTTAATTAAACTTTATCATATACTGCCAATATTAACTTTCATTTATAGATATTGGTATTTTAATGTGATACTTTAATCAAATTGAAGTAATACTAGACCAAATTTTAAGTCACATCTATAGTGATATCAGTTGACCAGTAAAGAATTCTAGATAAAATATAAGTTAATGAACTATCTACTTTACTCAGACAATTAAGGTCAGCCAAATTTACACATGTTCAACCATTAAATATTATGATTTGATTCTTAGACTGTATAATTTGTTTAATTGAATTGGTATAAAACAATTCATGATAGGTTCTTTAATATTTGAATGCTCATTAAACACAAAAACAAACCAATAAACATATTCTTTTAATTTGGCAATTCAGAATCCTACCTGAGATGAGCATGTCTTTTGGTTCTGATTTTGGATAGGTTAACACTAGGCAAACCACATTTTATTTTTCTTTAGTGACATTTGGGATTAAATCCCCAAAGCCTCTGCCCTCACTTTCCCGTGTTATGCAAATACGTGATTAATTAGATTTCTGCTTCTTGATTTCCCCCCATGTGAATACTGCAACAGCTTCATCAAAGGTTAACATTGTTATTCAAAGTGAATAATGACCAGGAAGCAATAGAATTGAGTTTATTGCTGTATCTTATGGTTACCCTGAATCTATATACTCATCTAAGAAAATCACATATCTAATATAGATTTTCCATTATTCATTCAATGGTTGTGTCTTAAAGTATTTTTTTTTCCTGTTAATATATGTATTTTTTTTCCTGTTAATATATTTTTACAGAGCAATCATTGTAAAAATTAATAGATAACTAAATATTTGTTCTTAAATATTGTATGGCTGTTTATTGGATAATGACAAGAAATAGAAATAAACAGCCTTTAAATGATATTGTTGTTGTTGTCAGGTGCCATTGAGTCAGAACCAACTCATAGCGACCCAATGCACAGCTGAACGAAACAATGTCCAATCCTGGGCCAACCTCACTACCACCGCCACATTTGACACCATCAATGATGCCACCTGGCTGATCCATCTTGTTGGGGGTCTTCCTCTTTTTCTCTGACCCTCCACTTTACTCAGCATGACATCCTTCTCCAGCGACTGTTCTCTCCGGACAATGTGTCCAAAGTATGAGAGACGAAGCCTAGCCATCTTGGCCTCCAAGGAGCACTCTGGTTGCAATTCTTCGAAAACAGATCTATTGGTTCTTTTGGCAGTCCATGGCACTTTCAGTATTCTCCTCCAACACCACAACTCAAAGGCATCAATTCTTCTACAATCTTCCTTATTCACCATCCAGCTTTCACATCCATATGAGGTTATTGAAAATACCATGGCTTGGGTCAGGTGCACCTTAGTCCTCAAGCTAACATCTCTGTTCTTCAATACTTTAAAAAGTTCCTGTGCAGCAGATTTGACCAATGCAATTCATCGTCTGATCTCTTGACTGCTGCTTCCGAGAGTGTTGATAGTTGATCCAAGAAGAATGAAGTCCTTGACAACTTCAATCTCTTCTCCATTGATAAGAATGCTGTTTATTGGTCCAGTGGTGAGGATTTTTGTTTACTTTACATTGAGTTGTAATCTTTGATCTTCATCAGTAAATATTTTAAGTCCTCTTCACTTTCAGCAAGCAAGGTTGTATCATCTGCATATCTCATGTTGTTAATATGTCTTCCTCCAATCCTGACCCCACGTTTTCCTTCATAGAACCCAACTTCTCGTATTATTTGCTCAGTATACATATTGAACAAGTGTAGTGAAAGAACACAACCCTGTCTCACACCTTTCCCGATTTTAAAACATTTAATGTTCCCATACTCTGTTTGAACAACTGCCTCTTGGTCCAGGTACAGATTTCTCAGAAGTACAATTATTTTGTGCATCCTGAATTGTCTTTAACAACCTAATTCTATAGATGTGGGAGGTGAGCTCCAGAGGTGATAAACTTCTGGCATCTCATAAAAATGAAGTTTATCAGATTCCAGAGCAATTGCTCTCAACTTATCCCTGACTACAGTGTTAAAAACAAACTAACAAAAATCCCAAATCTACTCCAAAATAACTTTCTTTGATAATCACTTGAAACTTTATTGTATTTGTATTTTAAAACTAAGGTTGAAAATAGATTTTAAAAATTATAGACCATATTATAATACAAAACTCCTGTGTGGCACTATAGGATAAGCACTGGACTGTAAACTCTCAAGGTCGGCAGTTCAAGCCACTTGCTCCTCCTCAGAAATTGTATACAGGGTCTCTATGAATCTGGAACAACTCGACAGCACTTAACAACAACAGCTATAATACAAGTGGACTCATTAATAAAAGTAATTCTCCTTCATTATTATTTTATTTTTTAACTTTGGATTGGGTGATTGGGTGAAATTTCATAGAGCTAATTACTTTACCTCCAACAATTTGTACCCACTTTGTTTCATAACTTTGCTTATAATCTCATCAATATAGACAACACTTCCCACTTATTCTCTATTTCCCTTTCTCCTTCTTTCCTGCTCTTTCCATGTCTTCTGAGATTTCCTTTTGTGCTAAAGCAGCAGCTTTGGTCTCATATGACTAGAATGTACAGAGGAGTACATTCATCCCTGCTGTTATTCCACGCAAATTATCCTTGATGTTGTGCAAAGTGCTGGTTAGTTGATACATTTAATGAATTTTCATATTTGATTATTTTATCAGATGATTCCAATGCTAATATACTTGTGTATGATTAGGAAGAATATTGTGGAGACAAAGCTCAAACAACGTAACTGTTAATACTTGTCCACTAGAGAAACTCACAAAGCTGTTGCCTTTGTGTTGCACGAGACCTTAATTACCGTTTTCTACTTCTCTGGTGCACATTAACGGAGGTCAAGCCTATCTTGGTCACCTTCTTCTGATTTCTTTACCACTAGTTTTCTCCTCAAGTGCTTCCCTGTGTTCTGGGATGTCAATTTCTGTCTGATTAAATTCTAATAAAACAAAACCAGACATTTCCTACCAAAACAGAATTGTCCCTCCAGACCATGTAGTATAACATCCTTTTTATTATCCCTACTAACATCAGAATCTTGGTTGGAATATTTTTTATTTTAAAAAGTTGATAAGCTGAATAACTTTCCAAAGGATGAATATATCTGCACTAAACTTTGATGCCAACCTGATGCTCATAAGTGCAATCTCCAAAAGAGTGTGGTTTAGTTGAGAAAATATGGTGCAAGAGTAAACCTTAAAACCTTTTTCAAAGCAATCGTTCCCTCTATACTTTCTCCCATAATCTTACCTTTCATAAATATGTCATAGTATCCCCTAAAGAAATGCCACTTGGAGAGCTACAAGTGTATAGCATATTTACCAGAATTATAAAATATTTTAATTAAATGACATTTTACAATAATAGCTATATAGCCTAAGACATTCACTTGCTTTTAGCTTCTACAATTTTTATTAATGGATAATTAAAGAGTATTTTTGAGTTTTGTGTAAGCCTTCAAATATAGGACTACATATATGTTATCAGAAAAAGCTGAAAAAAAATTTTTTTTGCCTTGTTTTGTTTTTTTTTTACATCAAAAAATTAAAACTAAGTCAGAGGAAGTAGGTGAACTTCAAAAATGATACAAATGGAAACTCTAACTTCTAAGTAATTGATAAGCATATCTTTATAGATCCATTACCTCTTGTGTTTTTGTTGTGGTTGTTGTTAAGTGTCATTGAGTCGTTTCTGACTCACATCAACCCACTATAGGATTTCCAAAGAGTGACTGGTGGGTTTAAACTGCTGACTTTCCAGTTCGCAGTCCAGTGCTTATCCTGAAGTGCCACCGAGTACTCATTACCTCTTATAATAACAACTGTATGACTATTATGAACTTTCTAAAAAGAAGTAAAACAATATATTCAATGCATATAGTATCCTCTCAGTTAATTATGTTTTGACCAATATGTAAACATCACTCAAAAAATGCTGTCAAGTATGAGATTTTTATATATTTGTTTTTGTATTGTGTATCATGGACACTTGACAGTTATTTGTTATAAAAGGAACTAAACACTCATTTTTATCATAAAATGCTCATCATTTTAGGGAATAGCCTGGATTATGAATAGAGTGCTAGTTAAATGATGCCTTGAGGAGAATGTGGCTAGAGAATCAGGACTAGGGGAATTTGTCCATGCTTGATTTTGGGTGAGGAAGGAAATCTTTCTAGAAAGAAGGAGGGAAAAGTTAAGAATTACAACGCAAATTAATTCTCTTTGTTCTTAAGTATCTAATAGTTTGAGTCTCCATTTATTTTAAAAAGGCATAGTCAGAACCAGCTCATGATCACTAACTGTCAATCCCTCAAATTTCCTCTCTCCCACTTGGGATCACGGTTCATCGTTCAAATCATAAAATACATGTCCTTATTACAAAGTAGTGTTTCTTCTTTGTACTGTAGATTTAGACATTTTGTACTGAATGAAAGCACCTTATTTTTTCACCTCATGATGTTTATAGTTTTTCCTGAATTGTTTGAATGATTACATAATTTAAGTTGGATATTTAC